GCTTACTCCCTGATTGTTGGATTTGTTGTATCACACCAGATGATATGTATGTCGTGGAAGTCCTCCACTAAAGGGTTCACTACAACCCCTACCTCATATGATGACAAGTTTATATGGGTTAAATAAATCCCCATTAAAATGTCGTGTTTTGTTTGGATAGCTAGAACATGGTGTATTCCCTCATCTTTAGCGTTGCAACATCGAGGTATTTCTATTAGAACAAGTGTATGTGATTTTTGTGGTTTGGTTGATGAATGCGATGATCACATCTTATCCTCATGCTCTTTTGAAACTACTACTTAGGAATGAATTCTGAGGTGGTGCACCATCCTTGTTACTAATTTTGATAAGGTGGATGAGATCTTGGATTTCACTGCAAACTAGGGCCATTGTCCTAAACAGAGAAAGATTTTAGTGAGTATTTTTTATGATATTCTATGGTGGTTATGGAAGACAAGAAACGACATAGTGCTAAAAAATCAATTCATCTCTCCAACTAAGGTCGATGATAACATCAAATCCTTGGTTTATATTTGGATTAGTGACAATAGACCTAAATATTCAAGTAATTGAGTTATGTATGCCCCTTTGTTTTGTAAGTAAAATATGTCCTTTGTACCTCTTTTTTCTCCCTCGTCTATTCGTTTGCTAGGCATGGGTTGTTTTATTTTCTTATTAATAATATTTACAGATTCCAAAAGAAAAAAAAATCGTTCTCTCTCGACATAATTGGTAATAGATATAAACTAGTGAAGGAACCCGCGTTGCGGGATTAGATCAGATGATAGACATGGCAGTAGATGTAGTTTACATTTGTAATATCTCGGCTTAATTCAGGAGTCGGAACTAATTTTCGAAAACGCTAAATAAATCTTCCTTTATAGATCTATAAGACCAAAATTACAAAAATACCCTTGTTCTAGTTACAAAAATCTCTATCACAATAAACATTTACCTTCATTACATTCATGTTACCAGGACTAATTGACAAATTCCATGGAATCCAATAAACCAGGTGTCACTAACCAAAGTTCATGTGTATTTGTGTGTATATACAATCATTTGGGTCCACTAAACCCAATGCAATTGACTCATTCCATCTATTAGGAACACTCTCAACACCAACTTCTTTCATGTGCTCCTCCAACTCTGGGTAAAATGTATTATATGGTGCCACGTGGCATCCATCAAAACATATCTCACATCATTAACTTTCATATATCAAACTAACAATCACAGAAAAAAGGTTGCAGTTGCATAAATGATTAAAGTAAAACATATTTATGGTTATCACAAACAATAAGTGGTTGTTGATTCACCCCCAAAAAGAATACACATTCGCGACAGTTAGCAATGAAGATACGCTTTGCTACTCTCGCACAAACTTAATACACACGACATGTTTTTTATACATCCAAAAGACATAAATGCCCTTGGAGACGTGTGCAAATTAAGATCTTTACCCTGTAAAAAGGTATGCCCTTTTCTTTTCTCACTTTGACATCAATCTTGTAAGCACTCATATCAGCTGTGAAGCCTCTAGCTTTAACAATGTCAGGAAAGGTCCCTTAGAGTATCGACCCGAGACAATTAATGGATTTACATAAAAGTCCGGAATACGAAAAGGGTATAATTGTATTAATCAGAACAATTAAGGGTCAAATTTTATAAAAAAAATTGAAATGAATACAAAAAGTGTGTGAGGGAGTGTACCTTATGTGACTCAAGAGTTTCTAGGCCATCAATGGTTACATTTTCAAGTACATGAGCTGAGGCATTGTTTAACAGTTTTGGTAACCGATCACTGATTAAATCTGGTAAAAATAAAGCTTTTTAACATTCTTTGTATATGTAAGAAAGGGCAAATTACAAATATACCCTCATAATGTTGATGAGACTGACCTACATCATATGCAACATCATAGCATCATCTTCCCATATGTGCAAGCATTTGCAAAAAATAGTGATTGCAGTATGAACCTGTGAATAATCTTGAATTCATTAACATGTACAAATTACAAATATACCCACATAGGGGATAATTAAAAAGAAGTCATACATACCTATGCCAAATGTGAAAAGTCTAGGAGAATTCATCCCTCCATCCACAAGGTCATCCTTTATTATATTACAAATATCTTTTTCATCTTCAACAGCTCCATTAGTAATAAGAAAAATGAAAGGAATTAACGTTTCTTATTCTTATTTTTAAAATATCATGAAAAAAGTCTTTCCAGTGTCACACATTCAAAGGCTAAAACACCTTTATGCACCAAAGTTATACTTTTTATTTATTTATTTATTTATTTTTATCATTTATGGTATTAATATGATTTTTGTTTTAAATTTATGCCGTTATGTTTTAATATGCTACAAAAGTCCATCTCATCACATAAGTTAATAAAAGATATACATCGGGCTCACGGGCTCCGGCTACTTTTGTATTGGTTCCCGCAAATTGACAAATTATATGTTTAGTTCACAAACAAAGAAAATTTTCCAAATTATGGACAGTAACCTGATGATTATACTATGAAACGGAAAACCAACATGGATGCATGAATTCAAAAATGTATTCATGTGGAGTGTAACTCTGAATGAAAACTCCATACAACAGAAAATCAGGTAAAAGGGTAAAATTGGAAGAATGAAGCAAATCAGTATATTATGCTGAGGATTTGGTAAACATGAATATAATTATCAAACAAAAATACCTACCTTACCCTAACCTGTTTAACTTAACCAAACCAATCAAATTTGAAAATAATTGTCTTTACCCTTTACATAAAGTGACATTTACAAAGAGCTAGCATTGTGTAGACAATAATCTTTTAACCATTTGTTGTTAAAGAGGCACTCATATTTATAAAAATTGACATAAAAATGCATTAATAGATTTATCATCAAGAAACCAAAAAAATATCATGCAGCAAAATTTGTAAATAATCATCTGAATCGTATCTATTGTTCATTTTGTTTGGTTATGATCATTTCTATTAGATTTTTAAAGAATCAAATTACAGAACTTACATCATCTAGTCTTGCAGTGTGAAGTTACATGACTTTAGCCAAAATGTCTGCATATAAGCAACCAAACAGATTAGAACAATAGAAAGATTTTCTTAACTATATAAAAAAAAACATACCACTTTCAGCCTATTTATCAATCAGCATTCATCATTTCCTATTTAGTCCATGCCCTAGCAGGTACATACTAATAACAAAATACAACATATAAGAAAAAAAAATACCTTTGTGCATCACAAAAATTAAGATTAATAAAACAAACTCTTATATTACTTGTGTGTTTAAGGCAGGGGAGTTGAATCTCTTATGGTAAGCATCCATAAAACAGCTTGTTTCATTTTCTGGTATAAGATCCATAAACGGCTCCATCTAGAATACCCAGTTAAGAGTACATTGATTATCATTCACCTACAATTACCCAAGAATAAGGTCAAATATTTTACTAACGATATGATGGAGTAAAAATACAGAACTTAGCTACATCAACAAACTGAAACATTGACATATTAAGGTACAATTCTTCCCATTTATCTACAAAAAGCAGATAAACAATCACACACATACATATGCTTTTGGTGAAAAACTAACAATTTCATGAGAAAATTGTCATTTCTCTAGACCTATTGTCCCAAATTGAGCACCTATGAAGGTAATTTAATTAAATTTAACAATCCAACAGGTGAAACATTACAACAAACAATTGGTGTGCATTGTACCATACCAAAAAACAGGAAACCATCTGTATTACACATAAATCAAAAGAAAGTATAGAAAAACAATAAAACATTTAGATTGGAGGAACACATCAACGTATCGGAACAAAGAACAAAAAGATCAATATTTGTCACCTGAAACAACAAATCAGATTCAAACCTTCATCGCATCACCAACCGTCACACCTAATTATAAAAACTGGGAGCAAATAGAGACAGAGAAAAGTAGAACTTCTGATCAGCTGCAATACACATCCGTGTACAGACGGTGGAATACATGTATCGACTTCTATCTCAGATTGTAGCTTCGAAGTTGTGAGTGTGACAACGACGCTGACGATAGGTGATGAGCGTTCTATTAGTAGATGGGGATTAGGATCTGATTAGAGATAGTTCAGTACTTAACCCCCAAATATGGAACGAACATGGAAGTAGTGGAGCTTGACTCGATTAATCGGTTGATGGGATAAAGTGTTGTGAATTTGGCGGCTACAATGGGCAAAAACAACGTAAGTAAACCCAATTGCTAGTTGGTACCAAGATGCAAACGAATCCATAGGCCATAGAAAACGAAATTGAGGGTTGATTTTGGAAGGTGACTAAAAAAATTGTAAAAGGAAACAGGGATTCGAGTTTTTCTACGATCTCTCTTGGGTGGGAGAGGCGGTGGAGGGAGCAACCGGCTCAAAAATGAAACTAATGTGGCAAATCATAAAAATGAGAGCGATTGAAGTGAATGGCGGTGGATGAAGGAAAAAAAGGATTCTGTGAGGAAATAGAACAGATACGGTGGGGTGGGAAGCACAATCGAAGAAGACGGCTTGAAAGCATCTGGTATTCAGATATCGAGACATCGGTGGTGGTGGGGTGTGGTGGAGTAATGTTATCGGAAAATAGAAACGGTGAAGGACAATGTATTGAGAACAGACAATCTCGGTGGAAGGAGAAAAGAACGCATGTAAAACAAATCACTTGCATAAACTAAAAGTAAACAAAAAAAAAATTGTCCAATCAACTCCTGTTCATCATGTAGTTCAAAATTAGTATATATATAAATTACATTCGATGAATCAAAATTTGACGTAGAAGAATCACCTACTCAAAGAAAAGTCCAATCCATAAATGCTCCCAAATTTACATCCCATGCCCTCAACGAGGTTACGAGGAAGCTTCGCAGTCTCCTTACACTGAACAGTAACACTCTTCTTTATAAACCCCCAAAATTTCAAATTCTTATCAAAATTTACAAAAACAAAAACTATGAAGATCCTGGACCTCCTTCTCCTCTTCCTCCCTCTCTTCTTCGCCATTCCAATTCAATCCTCATCATCACAGCCACATTTTCTCAGATCATCGACAAAAACTTTCAGTAATCAGAGAAGTGATGCCGCACCTCAACGGTACTTCGAAGTCACACACCCACTTCCCACCGACGACATTACTCCGGCATGCTCCGTCAGCGTACTCAATCACAGCTTCGGATACACCTACGGCAGTCCACCTGTCACAGTGAGCTACACCCCGCCTCCGGCGACATGTGAATGGTCCCTTGCCGTACTTGAATTCCGAGCTGAATGTAAAGGTGAGCAGTACGACCGTATCGCCGGAGTCTGGGTTGATGGAGTAGAGTTGTTGCGTACGAGTACTGCTCAGCCGACTGAAGATGGTATTTTCTGGAGTGTTCGGAAGGATGTGACTAGGTATTCTTCGATTATTTCTCAGCCCAATCTCACCCTCGCCGTTATGCTCGAAAACATTGTCAACGACGAATTCACCGGCGCTTACCACGTTAATATATCTTTCCTCTATTACTCCGATAAAGTCGCTAGGGTTCCGTTATCTATCGTTCCGGGAGAATCAGGAGCTAACTCGTTCAATAGAAAATTGATTTCTGTTAATTCACATGAAAATGAGAATAATTTAGAGGTCGGTCGAGTTTTAAATTCGTTGTATCCGTATAATAAGCCAGCAGATTTGGTTCTACCGATATCAGGTGCTCTTGATGAGGAGTTTTGGTTTAGAATTCAAGATGAATTTCATATCCAAACGACAAATCTTCAAATTTCTCAGAAGACTTACAAAGCGGTGCTTGAATTGTATGTTTCGTTTCATGGAGACGATGAATTCTGGTACATGAATCCTTCAGATTCATATGTAGAAACCAACCATTTGGCCACCGGAAGAGCTCACGGGGCATACCGTGAAGTATTGGTGACGATTGACGGTCAATTAGTCGGATCAGTGATTCCTTTCCCGGTGATATTCACCGGCGGAATCAATCCACTGTTTTGGGAGCCTGTTGTCTCCATTGGAGCTTTTGATCTTCCTACTTATGATATCGATTTGACGCCATTTCTAGGGCTTCTTTTAGATAACAAAAAACATTCAATCGGGCTTCAGGTTGCTGATGGTATCTCCTTTTGGCTTATCGATGCAAATCTACATCTCTGGTTGGATCATACAGATGTAAACGCTGAAACTGTGAAGTATAAAGTCCCATCAATGGAGATCCAACGTAAATCTGAGTTCGTACTCCTTGATGGAGAATTCGAAGTAGAAGGAGAAAGGAGTAGTCAAGCTACCGGATGGGTAAATTCAAGCTTCGGCAATCTGAAAACCCAATTTACCGAAAAAACCAAATTCAAGAGCAAGCTCAAGTTCAAATCAGAGGGAACTAAGAAAGAACTCGACCAACAGATCAAAAGGAAGACGAAAATCAAAATCTCAAATGAGATGGGTCAATTGATTGGAAATTTAGAAGTAAAAATAGATTACCCTCTGAAGATCTCCATGGATACTCAGCCCGGAGTAGATAAAGACACCTCTTTGATGATCACGAAGGTGGAGCAAGAACGAAGTGAGAGGTTTTATGGTGAGAAAAAATCTAGGGTTTTGAGTCACAAGCAGAATTGTAATGGTTCGATGGTGGTTATGGGTAATTCTGTTCTATCAGGTTCAGCCGATAATCATCAGAATTACAATTACCAGGATGAATTTGGTTGTTATTCTCGAAATGTTGGTGTGGTGGATGGTGATGTTGTTGGGGATCAAACGTTCTTCACTTGTGAAGCTTAGTTCTCATTCCACTGGTATTTTTTTGTTTAGTTTACTTTAGTTGTGTTCATGTAAAATAAGCTGCCATAGTTTTGAGGCATTTAGCTTTAGTTATGTTTGGAATAAAAACTCTATGTATGGTTGTAAATAATTGACTTAGCTTGTTTTTATGGCAAAATCAACAGTTTAAGTTTTCTTATGGTTTAAATAATTGATGTTATGATTTATGGTTGATGACAATAATGTATCAAGATTGGAGCTTGGATTTAGAAAGGTAAGCAAAGATTATATCTGTGCATTTGAAGTTGAATGGGGGTGATTTGATTGTGTAGGTATTTTGGTGACCTTTTTACAGTTTATTTGGATGATTTGAAAAATATTATGATGAAACCAGCAATGTAATTAAAGGTATTTTTTTATTAAGAAACGTATAGTGTTTTAAAATTGGTCAATAGTATAAGTAGTCACATTTCCAAAAAAAAACATAAGGTAATAAAATCAACATTATTTTCAAAATAAAATTTAGACTTGTGCCTTTTTTAATAACTCTGTTAGTGTGTTGACAACCGAATTAAGTAAAAAGATGATCGCCCACCGTGGGGCTCGAACCCACGACCACAAGGTTAAGAGCCTTGCGCTCTACCAACTGAGCTAGACGGGCTTTTTGTTAATTTTGTTTTATGGATAGTAAAATCACGAATGCTGCTTAATCCAAGTCCATAAACTTCAAATTTAATCATTTGAGAGATTGAAACACCTTTCGCCACACCTATTTATATACGCATTTATATGTAAATTCAAACTTGATTCTAATTTATACAATTTTATCTATCTAATAAATAATACAAAATTATAAAGTTTTCAAGTTCATAATTTTCTCTTTTTAACTTTACTTGACTTTGTTAGAGTTGATGTAACATTAAAATTATATTATACCTTTCTATTATTTCCTTTTTTTTACTTTAGGGTTATCCCTTAGGTAGGGCTTCAAGGAAAGAGAAATCTGTCACATGCTTAAAATGCAAAAACCTTGGTCATAACAAAAGGAGTTGCAAAGTCAGAGTAGTGCAAGTGGTGTAAGTAAAAGGAGTGCAAGTGCTGATGGTGGTGCAGGTCAAAGCAGTGCAAGTGGTGTTGGTGGTGCAAATCAAAGAAGTGTAAGTGTTGCTGGTGAGAAGAGATCAAGTAGGGCTGGTAAAAGCAGTGCAATTGGTGTTGTTAATAGGAGACCAGGTGGGGATGGGAATAAGGGAAAGATAGCAGTTTGAAAGCATCCTAGTTGTTTTATTTTGTAGCTTAATGTAATGGCTTTTTTACACTATGCAATGTGTTGATGTTTTTGTTAACATTATGATGATCTTTTGTTAACATTATGATGATCTTTTGATAACATCTTTATCTTTTGTTAACATTATGATGATATCCTACTATCTTTTGATAAAATCCTACTATCATTTGTATGTCATTCCAATTACATTCCAACAACATTACACAATTCCATTCTAATTACAATCATTACACAATTACAATCAAACCAAAGTACATTCCAATTATAATAAAACCAAATTACATTACATTCTAGTTAATTACAATCCATTCCATTCCATTCCACTACAATTACATTTCATTCCATTCCAGTCAACTAAAATCCATTCCACTAAAATTACATTCCATTCCAGACAAAAAGCAAAAACAAAAGGTTTGAAACCAATTACAATGCAATTGCAGTGCAATTTGTAAATTAGAGTTGCCACAAAAAAACTCAATTGCACAGTAGCAAAAGCCTCAATTTTTTATTTTTATTTTGAAGCTCTTTCATTTTGTTGGCATGAGCAGAGCTATCTTCATCAACCCAACATAGAAACCCACATCATGGTCCCTGCAATTTCAGTAATTAGGTCTAACTTTAATTAAGTGTTTAGAGCAAGTGAAACATCGATTAAACCTAAAATTATCGTTCCGGTACAACAATAGAATCACTTTCCATGGTTTTTCTTAGTCGTCGAGGTTCGTATAATAGTTAGATAACCACAATCACACCTTATCTCCATTAGCGTTTTTTGAATTGAAGAAGTTGCAGAGAAGACGAATAGATGTCCAAGTCGTAGAGAAGAAGAATGGCTGGCACGTATTTGAAAAGCATTCTTATAAGGCTTTTAATATTAAAAAGGCAAAAATACCCCTGGCCTGTTAGGCATGTGGGGCGTATTAACAAAGAGGGATAATGACAAATGGACGTAAGAACCAAGCGCGTATTAAAAGCAATTGTTAGGGATGCCCAATGTGCAAAATAAAACATAAGGACCAAACACGAAATTTTTGCAAACCAAAAGGACCATTTTAGTAATTTGTTTCATCTATAATGTTATCCTCATGAATTCAAAAATCACTATCATCACTATCTGATAAGTCCTGAGAATCTGTAACATCCCAAAATCATGATAAAATTTTTGTTTTTCAGTTTAAGTAAAAATCATTGTTCAATCAAACCCAAGTCATAAAAAGCAAATATCCAAATACAAATATCCCAAAATCAGAGTATCATAAAATCTCCAAAATGTATCATTGAAGGATGTGTATGATCACGCCTTCGTCTTTCCCTGATCCTCGGAAGTACCTGAAACATAACACTTAAATGGTAAGCCAAAGCTTAGTGAGATCCCTGAAATACCCCACACAACAGAACATATACAAACATGCATGCTGGGTCCACAGTCATCGGACTGGATTACCCTTGGGTCCACAGCCATCAGACTGGATTACCCCTGGCCCACAATCATCGGACTGGATTGCCTCAAACCAATCTGTCATCATACTAGAATGCCCCAGTCTGTTGGCTTACACACATAATAGTAAAGCCTCAACCCATACCGCACTATGTCCACATATGCAAAAGATAAATCATATACAACATAGATAATCATACATATCTACAAATCACTATAGCATAGTAACATCCAATATACTAGGATACATAGCCTAGTGGGCCGACATTGGTGCCTTCGACCCACGAGTATAGTGAGGAAAACTCACCTCAATGATATAAAGATAGCATAACCGAATGATGCTCCAACTACCGGCTCTACGGGTCACCTGTACAACACCCATGGACCAAGCCTCAATCTACTACTCAAACTATCCTAAATAACCTAAAGTTAAACTTGGTTAAAGTCAACGGCTAACGGTCAAAGTCAAAAGTCAATCCAGCTGGTCACCACGTCGTGGCCACTAAATGACAAAATAGATGAGTCTTAGCCCAGTCATCACAACGTAGAGACCTAAGCCACATCGTGGGTATTGGGTTCCTAACAGCTTAATGGGTTAAGCCGTCTTTCTTCGATTCTAAGGGCTCAAAAGCTCAAATCTAGTCCATACTATGGTCTAAGTGGATAAAGTTTCCAACTTTATCCCTTTAGACTCTCCAAGAGGTAAGGGTTTCACTCCTAGGTCCAAAAGGGGCAAAATATAACTTGGCTTAATTCATTAAGCACTTAATGTAACATCCCGACTCCCATGTATTGCATTTATTTATTTATTTGTTTTTGGGATTTAATGAGTGACTCGACGAGTTGTGTGTCCGACTCGTCGAGTAGAAATGGATCAGTCACGTGGGTTTAATGACCGACTCGACGATTCAGAGAGCCGACTCGCCGAGTTAGCGTTGTGTGAGGAAACCCTAAATCCCCGGTTTGGGGCCTATTTAAGGAAACTTATGTCCTCATTTCAGCCTCACCAGCTGCCCAACTCCCCTGTGTGAAACCCTAATCGGCCATTGAGCTAAGAGAGAGTGTTTGAGCTAATATTTGAGTGTTTTGGTGCATCTTTTGGAAGGGAAGAAGTGAGATACAAGCAAGGAACAAGTAGAGGCTGTGGGATCCAGTATTCTTTCACTTGGAGCTTCTGTTGAAAGGTAAAATCCATCACCTTGATCATCATGTTGTTTAGATCTTGCTAATGAGGAACTTTTGGGGATTTTTCCATATTTCCTTGAAGATTTGGTATGACTTGTGCTTGCCAAGCATTAAGACATCAGATCTGGACCTTGTGAGGTCCATAGAGCCTAAAGGTCCCAGCTTTATTCAGCCATAAAAGATTTATTGTGCTTAAACACCTTAGTTAGAGCTTATAGTGGCATTATGGAGCAAATATGCCATGCATGAACGTAAAGATCGAAGCTTTACGTGACATTCGAGCCTTGGGAGGCTAGATATAGAGTTTGGAGTGGTAGATCTACCTTAAAAACGTGTGAATAAGATTTTGACTCAAGGGACTCAGCGAGTCAATAAGCTGACTCGACGAATCGGCTAGGGTTTTCCTCGATGAGTCTGGACAAGGGTGACGCGGCGAGTTGACGAGACAACTCGACGAGTTAAGTTGGGTTTTCGCGACGTTTTGAGGAATAGTGGGGACTTGGCGAGTCACATAGGTGCACTCGGCGAGTCGGGTCAACATGGACAATTGACTCGAGTGTTGACTTCTGTTGACTTTAGGGTTTGGCCAATCATGACTTATGGAGACCATGGAGGGGTGAAATGGTGTTTTTCCCAATCCAAGAGTTAGATTTAGAATTTGTGATTAAGGTGTTAATTAGAGATAATTATCACATGTGATTAGGCGGAGGCCAGATTCGGTGATTCATGTTTGAGGAGTACACATTTCCTTAGCTTTCTTACGAGGTGAGTCTTCTCACTATACTTACCATGAGTGGTATCCATGTGTGACTGGAGGGTCTTTTGTGCTTATTTGAGTTATGTGATATTATGCATTTTGTTTGTGTGATATATATGCTATATTCTGTGTTTACCGAGATAGGACCGGAGGGTCCAAACCGAGTTGTGGAACCGAAGGGTCTTCACTGAGATACTGGACTGGAGGGTCCAACCGAGTTGTGAAACCGGAGGGTCCTCACTGAGACAAATGAACGAAGGGTCCACACCGAGACGTATGAGACCGGAGGGTCCATGCCGAGTTATAGCCACGAGAGGCTTATTATTTGTATATGTGGTATTTTGGGGAACTCA